GAATAACTTGGGACCAGGATACCTGTGAGGGTGCCTTCTTTCTTACCAACCTGCCCAGTCACTAGGGTCACTGGAGGACATTCTCCTGGTCCTTCTACACAAATCCATGGCCTGGCTGGAGGCCAGAGCCTTCAGTATGGTGGCCCGACTTCCATAGAACTCTCTGCCTTGGGAAGTCAGGCAGGCACCAATGCTATGCAGTTTTCAGAGCCTCTTACAAACTGCCTTATTCAGGGAAGATTTTTCTTGCTGACCAGCCACCATCTTAATGTTGATTACTTTTATTTATTTTTTAAACTTTATATTGTTCACCACCTTAGACTCTGGATGTATAGCAATAACGAAATACTGTTATCAAACAACTCTTAAGCAACTCTGTTGAAAACACTGCAGGATGACACAAGACATGCTAGAGAAGCCATGACTTAGCAGTCCATGCGCACTTGTTCAAGGTGTCACTAAGGAATGGGGAGTCCCTGGTCCACAGGAGTGATGAGGCTTAGGAAGAGTCTCTTTTAGGCCTTCTTCTCCTGGCTCTGTCCCCTCTACCATAGAGGGAAAACAGCAGCTGATGCAAGTTAAGTGTTTTCCCCCTGCTTAGTACTGGAAAAGCTTCCTTTTCTCAGTGCATAGCAGGGAAAAGCACTTGTCTTTTATCAGCTGCCATCTGGACATCTTCCCTGCAAGGCAGAGATGGTGGAATCAGGGGAGGACTGCTGTGCAATTCAGTCCTGCAAATTTCAGAGGATCAACTTGCTTCCTTATGGGTAGACATGAGGCTTTTGCTTATTTCTGAGTAGACATGTTTCCAACTACAACATATTAACAAACATCTTACAGAGCAAAAGGAAGGGGTCCCGAACTTTAATTTACAATGTTTTATGTTCTGATTTTACTTTTTTACTTTGTATTATAAGCATGGAAATCTATAGGGCAAGATATAAATTCATATAATAAAGAAAGCTTAACTGCAACAGGGAATTTTTTCAACATATTTTGTTTACTGAAAATCTCAGTTACTAGAAAGATAGGCTATTACTTCTAATTCACAATTCATCAAAACAACAGTTAAGTTCCTAGTGGTCTTTCTTCTGAAATGGTATCACTTTGCAGAAAAGTTTATTTAGTCATCAGTATTAAATGTAATACAGCTTCACGAACTCTACATTAGAACCAGGAATATAAGAGGTATTGCTTTTTAAGGTGTTTTAGCTACAGAAGTTTTATAGTGAAACATTATCATAATATGTGAAGGACAGCTAAATGGCTGCTTTGCTGTGGTAGCATTCCAAGTTAGTATATTAGCCTTTTAAAGCTGCCTATTTAGCAGCATTAATAAGCCACTATACCTCACATTTAAGAGCCATGAATTCAAGAGCTGTCCACATACACATTATAACAATCCCACAAAAGATTGCTGAAAGTGAGGAGGCCATCGCACAATGAGATTCCAATGCGGTTCTATTTCACTCTTCCAATTATATACAACATGGTACATCACTGATTATGTATGAAAACTGCCTTAAATGCAACTCTGTTTAAATTTATATGATTTTCAGATCCAGTCCTCTTTCCACATGATGCACGATACCTACCCACACTCCACTGCTGCTCCTGTTCCAGTTCGAAATACTATCACCCTTGTTTCTTGCTCACTGTATCCCAATTCCCAATCTGCTGTGTAATAGATTGGGAATCATAGCTCATGTGTTCAACCAGCCATTTCTGCAACAGCTGAAGGTTAAATACTTAAGCATCTCTTCTCTTTGGACTTGGTCAATTGCCTTTTCTTTTCCAAAAGTGGTTTTGGGTGCTTAGCGTTTTAGGCAACAGCAGACAAAAGCAAAAAAGCCAAGTTCGGTTAACCTCTAAGTTGCAGCTGATAGCACAGCAGGCCTTTTAAGCATTTGAGGTCTTATTGCATCTTCTCTTACCAATTATGCAGCAAAGAGCATACACACATACTGCCAGTTAATGATCTCAGCTTGTTTATGAATTATCAAGAAGTAATAGCATGACAAGTTCATAATCTGTCGCTGCATAACATGTACTGGTAAACAAGGGGCAGCCAATCGATGCAGGCAGGCACCAGCTCATTACTCTTGAGTGAAACTAACCCACATTGCTGTAATAAGTTCTTGTTAACTTCCAGGCTTGATTCAATGTGATTTTTATAGATCTAAGCAACCCTTGCACCACGCATTTTAAGAAGCACCTTTCCTTGCATTCATCTCATTTCATCTGCTGCTATATCTGAGCCCACAAGGGGAGAAGCAAGCTGAGTGAGGTAAGTTCAAGTTGAAGTAAATCAGGTCCAGTAAAGTAGGTTAAAGCAAAAAGCTGAGATAAATCAGGGTCAACAGCACATCAGTTCAAGGTAGGTCGGTTCACACCCGCCTAGACACGGTTGTTTTTCTGATGAACTGAGATCAGGACCCTGGATAGCTCCCAGTGTGTTCTGTTCCGCTGTAGACAGATGTCTCATAAAGAAGTGGAGCCAAGAGAAGCCTTTAAAAGGTTCCCAGCAGCTCTGCCACTCCTACCAAAGCACTATCTGCGGCCTTTATAGTGACCATGCCTAATTCTGGAGTCACGTGTTCCAGTGCAGCAGGAGAGACTACAAGGAAGCCACTACCAGAGTGTGTGAGTGATGTGAAAGTCGTGTCCTCAGGCCAGAAGGGCACGGGAGAGGATGCCAATGTCTCTCTCTCCTCCCAAGTGGAATGGCTTGTGACTAAGCTGAAGCTAAGTGGCTCTACAGACAACGCTGAGATCCAGGTGCAGGGAATGCAACAAAAGGCTTCCATAAGTAAGAAAGACATTCTAGCAGTGGGACGTTTCTTCCAAATTCCACGTATCTGGTAAGTGAGCAGATGCTACTCCTATTTGGACACCAGTGCTGTAGAAAGCCATTCCCAGAAGATTCCCCAAAGCCTTCTTTCCATGCATTTAGGAAATGGTGCAAAATGTTCCTGTTTCCGGATGCCTGTGATAGCTTGAGATTTATTAGTAGCGTTCATTGCATATTTTATAAGGACCCTGTTCTGGCAGTTGATAATACATACTCTAGCATGAGCACTAGTTTCCTACACAACCAGGACTAAAAATATTCCTTTTAAGATATTTAAGTTCATCTTGAAGAAATCTAGCCTGTATTCTACAGCCTACGTGCCACATTCCAGATGCAAGATAGAGGAAGGGCTCCCCCACAAAGCAAGTTTACCTTCCCATGCAAGGTTCCAATGCCGCAGAGCTGTTCTGGATTAGATTTGGAAGAATAATATATTTGAAAGAGCCCTCACTAGCATATGTTAACAGAGTAACTAAGCCATATTATACCACCTTCTAGTAGTTTTGTTGAAAATGCACCCTTCCTAGTGGGTATCAATTGCTTGAGTACATTTCCCCGCTCAGCTTTACTTGCAGAACACGTATTAAACATACTTTGGAGAAGCCTTCCCTAAACTGGTGCTCTTTTGATTAAACCCCCCAGCATTTTGGACCATGGACCATTCTGAATGGGGTTGATAGGAGCTGAAGTGCCAAACATTTGGAAGGTACCATGTTGAGAAAGGCTGCTGCATCACACAGACTAGACCACAGTAGATGACGATTAAAAAGATGAAAAGTTAATAGACATGATCATTACAAAAAGATTATATCATTCATTACTAATTATAATTAATTCATACAACATTACACAACCTAATGATCTCTTGATTTCTTTACTCTGAATTCTAATGTCTTTGAATTCACTCTCTTCCTCTTCCAACTTTCTTGAAATATTCATCCCTTGCCTTGAAAAGGCAAGTTCCTTTCAAACTCTAATTCAGCAACACTGCCTTCCCCCCACTGGCAGGTCCTTCCTGATAGGAAGGGGAAGGCTGGTGGAGGAGTGGCCGGTTCATGAGTCCTGAACATCTTTAGGCAGCCTCATCCAATTTTCCTCATTCTTCCTGCATCAGAGCAGGAAAACCCGGCATAGGGAGGGGTTACCTGGTTTGCCACTGCATGACCAGCCAAAGGTTACAGTTATCAAGGCATGGTGCCATGCTTGCCAGAGTAAGCAGGTTCAGTAAGCCTATGTATTATAATGTATGGATGTGGCAGTCCAAAGCAGCTCAAGTTGGTTCCCAAATTCCTATCCTGGAATCTGCTGTACAATATTGGCCTTCATACAGAGACACAGAGTCCCCATTCCAATGTGCCATCCTTGCAAGAACAGCAGTTCAGCGTAAAGTCCAAACCAGACCTTTCTAATGTTATCCAAACCAGCCTACAATGAATGTTCTGGTCCCATTTTTCTTGGTATGCTGGAATAAGCAACATCTCAAAGTAAGATACAAGTGGGCTTAACACCATCTTCCAACTCTAGTCTCCCCATCTTTAATGCACTTGCCTCAATTGCAGGAATAGAAATTCACTTCCCTTAAGCAAACAAGTAGGAGGGAACACGTTAGACAAGTCTTCTTAGTTCTTGGTATTAAAACAGGCTTCCAAGTAAATTCCGGCACATGCCAAGTCAAACTATTGCTTCATATCAATTGCCCAGAACATGCTAGAAATAACTATAATATTAGAGTACTTTACAACTTCAATAATTGTGTAGTCTTAAAACTGAACCAAACCATCAGAAGTCTGCCAATTCAAATGATTCTTCCCACACAGCAGCAGGAAACCATTCAAAGTCATCTGGAGCAAGACCAAACTAATTTTGTTGAAATTTTTAAATTCATCGCATCGTTACAAATTAGTATTAGATGTTAATTTAGATGGTTTAGAAGTGTATACATCCAACTTCAAATGGTAATCTCCCAGAAAATTACATAGTAAACCATTTTTGTTTGTTTAACTGAGCTAATGTAAATTCAGGGGTCAACTTGTTTTAAGTGACCCTTTTCTCACTGTTTCTAAGTCCCTTATGAAGAGCAATGAGGGTCATCTGATCCCTGTACAAGTGTAATAAGCATATTAACAGGACAAAAAAATATAGTGATTACCTGTATTCCTGTCTGGTAAAATACAGCAATGCTTCTGCAGAATGCCAGGCAAAACCTGTAAGACAAGGTGCAAAGTAAACATATGGATTTGCTACCTTTTGAGAATAAAAGGACATGTGCAATTAAATATAAGTCAAGAATATGCTTTGGTTGAGCAAGTTCATATGGCACTTTCTACGTTACACAGTAATCACTTTGGTCACATGATCACTGCTCCTTTCAGTGGGTGCTTACTCTAATTCATGTTTAACAGTAACTGAAAACGGTGTTTCTCGTTCAGAACAATATCAGTCCATGACAGCACAAAGTTAAGATTTTACTTACGGAACGTTTCATCTGGAAAACCTAACTATGTGTGGTCCCCCATAATGAGAAGTGATTGCTGACATGCTCATGATGGAGCAAAGGCAGGATGGACCAAAAGACGTCTCTAAGTTGAACCTTCACATACACCATGTTCCCATGACACTTCCCGTTCCCGTACTTTTACTCCCAAGCAGAGTCCAGACTAAACAGTTGTGTCATTCCATATCCACAGAGGTCTGTAAAGCTAATGAGCCTTAATTGCCCATTGAGGACCAGGCCAGTTCAAATTACTTTACATGAAACCAAGGAACAATACGTTTTTGCTGGAAAAGCGGAGTTTTCCCCAGCAACTGTGAAAATTTCAGCGAAGCTCAGCAGGAATCGGAAGTCAGAAGGAGATGGTAGATAATGCCAGCACCCTGCTAATAACCAATTGCTAGAGCTGCATTCCTGCTAGTCTTGAGTCCACTACATTGCTGTATCCCTTCAAAGTAATCCTGCAATGCTCAGAAAGGAAACTAGAGAGGGATGGATCCAATAGTTATCACTGTAGATATTGCACCATTGAAGAAAACAAAGCTTGTGGAAAGTCAATAGCACTTGCTAACATGAAAAGCATACCAGAAAATAAAACCAACACTTACACAATATCAATAGTGCGAGCATGTGCTGCGGATGTTGTGGTAAGTGGCTTCTGTTTGCACAAGCAAAAAAGTGCTAATAGCTAGACCCCCACTAGATCCTTCTCAGAATGCCTCAGAATGCCCATGATTATCACTTTAATATTCATTCATTCATTTATGAAATTTGTATGCCGTCCAATTACCAATGTCTCTGGACCGCTAACAGCATAAATAAATTGACGACCCACTCTGGCTGCAAATACAATATTAAAATTCAATATTAAAACATATTAAAATATTGGTCTTAACCTGGCACTGAAAAACAAATATATAATGACGGCACCAGGCGGATCTCTCTCCACAGTCGGGGCGCCACCACAGAGAAGGCCCTCCTCCGGGTACTCTGTCTCCTAACTTCTTTCACAGATGGTTCCCGGAGGAGGGCTTCTGTTGCCGATCTCAGGGACTGGGGGGCAAATAGGGAAAAAGGCGTTCCTTTAGGTATCCTGGTCCCAAGCCATTTAGGGCTTTATAGGTAATAACCAGCACCTTGAATTGAGCCCAGACTTCGATGGGAAGCCAATGGAGCTGATAGAGGACTGGGGTTATATGAGAATAACACCCAGTCCCTGACAGCATCCTGGCAGCTCTATTTTGAACCATCTGAAGTATCCGGACTGTCTTCAAGGGCAGGCCCACGTAAAGTGCATTACAGAAATCCAACCGGGAAGTAACCAATGCATGTGTTACTGTTGCTAGGCAAACTTCCTCCAGGTAGGGACGCAGCTGATAGATTAGCCAAAGCTGAAAGAAAGTGCTCCTCGCCACCACTGTCACTGGGGCTTCCAAGGACAGCTCCGGGTTGAGGAGCACTCCCAAGCTGCAGACACTTTCCTTTAGAGGGAGTGCATCCCCATCCAGGGCAAGGCCCAAGTCACCTACCGAGGAGCTCGAATCACCCACCAACAGAACCTCTGTCTTATCTGGATTGAGCTTCAGTTTATTGGCCCTCATCCAGCCCATTACCTCAGCCAGGCACCGGTTCAGTACAGCCACTGCCTCACCTGGATTAGTTGAAAAAGAGAGGTAGAGCTGTGTGTCATCAGCATACTGATGACTCTGCAGCCCAAATCTACTTATGATCTCTCCCAGAGGTTTCATGCAGATATTAAATAGCAAGGGGGACAAAATGGAACCCTGCGGTACTCCACGGCATAGTTGCCATGGCGCAGAGCCAAAGTCCCCCAGCACCACCTTCTGGAATCAGCCTTCAAGGTAGGAGCGAAACGACTGCCAAGCAATGCCTCCTACTCCCAACCCCACCAGCCTATCCAGGAGGATACTATAGTTGATGATATCAAAAGCCGCTGAGAGGTCCAGGAGAACCAACAAGGACGCACTCCTCCTGTCTCTCTCCCTGCACAGGTCATCATACAGGGCGACCAAGGCAGATTCAGTACTGTACCGGGGTCTGAAGCCAGACTGAAATGGGTCCAGATAATCAGTTTCATCCAAGAGTACCTGGAGTTGCCCCGCCGCCACCACCCGTTCCAACACCTTGCCCAAAAATGGGATGTTGGCCACCCATCTATAATTGGCGGCCACCTCTGGATCCAGAGATGCCTTCTTTAGGACAGGCCTGATTACCGCCTCCTTTAAAGGAGCGGGCACCCAGCTGTCCCTCAGAGAGGCATTAATAACCTCCAAGATCCAGGAACCAATGCTGTGTTTAGCTTTGGTCAGCAGCCACAAAGGGCAAGGGTCGAGTAAGCAGGTGGTAGGATGTACTTGTCCAAGAACCTTGTCCGCAACATCAGACCGCATTAACTGAAATTCATCCATTAATACCTGACCAGACGGGGTCATTGGTGTCTCCCCTAAGGGATCTGAATCAATTGTGGAGTCCAGCTAGTGACGAATCTGAGTGATTTTCTCCTTGAAGTGCTGGGCAAAGTCGTCACAGCAGGCCATCGATGGTGGTACAGAATCTTTCTTAGAGCCGGGGTATATCAGTCCATGTACCACTTGAAAAAGCTCCACTGGACAGCACTGTGAGGAGGCAATGGAAGTGGAGAAGAATTTCTTCTTCGCTGCCCTCAGTGCCACAGCATAGCCTCAATAATGAGCATGTAAGCATGTTTGGTCAGATTCATCCCGTGATTTCCTCCACCTATGCTCTAGTCATCTCCCAACCCGCTTCATCACCCATAATTCAGATGTATACCATGGAGATGGATGGGCTCTGCTTGGCAGGAGAGGACACTTAGAGGCAATCGTGTCAATCGCTCTGGCCATTTCCGCATTCCACAGTTCAACCAGAGCATCAACAGGAGAACCAGTTTTATCAATGGGCAAATCCTCCAGGGCCTTCAGGAATCCATCCGGATCCACCCGGCTCCGAGGGTGGACTATCACAATAGGGTCCGCACCCTTACAGAGGGAAAGGCCAGCTCCAAGCTCAAACCTCACGAGGAAGTGATCTGACCATGACAGGGGAGTCAGACACAAATTCCTCACCCTCAAATCACCCTCTTCCTGCCCCGTCGAGAAAACCAGGTCCAGCGTGTGTCCACATTCAGTGGTTGGGCCTATGACATGTTGAGACAGCCCCATGGCCGTCAACACCAGGTCCGAGATGATCTCCGTCAGCTCAGGCACAGTCTGATGGGCAGAAGGGTGCATGGTACACCAGCAGAATCCCCAATCTGTCTCAATTGCCCAGCACTAGGTATAAACATTCTAGACCTGGTCTTGAGGGAACAGGAAGCCCCGTGAGGGAAATAGAGGCTCGGTGAATTAAAGCGACCCCCCCTCCCCTCCTCTCTGGATGTGACTGGTGCTGAACTAGATACCCAGGCGGGCACAGCTGAGAGAGGGCTACATCCCCACCCTCTCCCGCCCAGGTCTGTGTAATGCAAGCCAGGTCGGCTCCCTCATCCACAATTAAGTCGTGGATGAGGGATGTTTATTAACATAGAACAGGGATGTTTTATGGACTGACCTGGCATTAAGCAGCAGCACCGTCAGGCCTAAGGGGCAGTTGATAAGCTTACCCAGAACCTTCTGGTTGGAGGAATAACCAGGAGGAGGAACAGGTATCAACCATCTGTCCCTCCTTTTTCTATGCTGACATGTTAATCCCCCAACGCCGTTTCTCCCCTTGCCCAAAACCACCCCAAAGGTAGCGCCCATGCGCTCCCAAAGCAACCCCATAAAAACAGCAGCCAGATGTGAAGTCACTAAAACAAATACAATAAAATATGATTTAAAACCCTCCAGCCCACCCACTACAAAAAAATATGTTTAATTTGCAAGCATTTTTGCAAATAACATGTAGATTTTGAAACTTTCAATATCCTCCAATCTACTCAAGGAGCACTGGCATTGCTATGGGCTATGACATTTCAAGTTCCTTGTCCTACCACCCATCTGCTGAGAAACATGAATTTTAAAAAATAGTATGAATTCATTCTCGATGATCTCAGTTAACTTATAAAATAAACTGATGGCATTTCTAATTGTCATCCTTTAATTCCTAAGTGATTTCTAAATTTAAAAGTGTTTCCTCTGATCACCAAAAGGAAAGTAGCATGACGTTTTCCCCTGATGCTTCAGCAGACCCAAGAGTCAACAAGCGACAAGACATGTAACATCAGTTTTGCAAATGCTGAAAAAATATGTTAACTGCTTATGAGTAATGGCATGACACACACCTTTGCAAATTAAGGCATCTTTTCTGACACCGTTCTCCCATCACAGGATGATTCCCTCAATTAGCCATGCCAGGAAGCGTGTGATGTATCACTCAGCAAACAACCTGTCCCCGAAGCCCCATTATGAGGAGTACTACTAGCTCCTTCCTGACAGCCACATAATGGAACCCAACTCCAGAGGATCAGAGTTTACAGAAAGGTTACAATGCAGCAAGGGCTCAGGGCTCAAGGTCTGGCTATGTGGTATGCAACTGATCCTCACCTTTTGGATAGGGGCTTGACCTAAGATAGGGATCAATGTATTTGGGGACAGGATATTGAAACCTTCACACTGTCTCCCCTAAACCCCATGCAGTGGCTCAAAAAAAGAGAAACATATCAATGGAGGGTTCTCTCTCTCTCTCTTTTACCTGAGAACAGGGGAA